CAAGACTAATGGCCAAGCTGAAATCTCCGATAGAGAAATTAAACAAATATTGGAGAAAATTGTTAACCCAAGGAGGAAAGAATGGTCACCTAGACTTGATGAAGCCTTATGGGCTTATCGATTCGCTTATAAAACATCCCTGAGGATGACTCTATTCAAGCTAGTTTATGAAAAGGCGTGTCATCTTCCCGTAGTGCTCGAACACAAAGCATATTGGATTATAAAAAAGCTCAACATAGATACTCAATTAGCTGGTGAAAGAAAGCTGTTGGAGTTAAATGAGATGAAATAATTTAGGGCTCAAGCTTATGAGAACGTACAATTGTATAAGAAGAAGACAAAGAGGTGACACGATAAACATCTTTTTCCATGACATTTTTCTGAGGGTCAACAACTTCTCCTTTACCATTCGAGATTGAAACTGTTTCTCGAAAAACTCAATTCTAGATGGTCAGACCCATTCAAGGTGCACCAAGTCTATCCCTATAGAGTTGTAGACATCAAGAACCTTGATGATGGAACTATGTTCAAGGTTAAACGCAAAAGGCTGAAGGCCTACACTGGTGCTCCAATCTTGATAGACAAATCAGTCGCACTTCTTTAGAACATATGAGAGTTTGCATTTCTTTACTCTTTAGTTTCTGTTATATCATATATTTGTTTTACTGCATGTGTAGATAAATAAATATTTTTATTTTAATATATTTTATTTTTTCTTTTACTTCATTATTTTAATTCCACTTTTATTTTTTTATTGCTTTATTCCTTAATTACTTTTTATCATATGGCTATATAAGATGGCGTGAGAGTGTTTATTTAAGGAATAAAATTCTTGTCCTTTTTTAACTCAGGGTTCTTTGACTTTATTTAATTTTTGTGAAGTTGAAAAAGCTACACATATCTCTCAAATCGTTTGGGCAACACTATAGAGGCATAAAGAGGGTTACTTCTATTTTTTAAAATTTAAAACACATCCATTAATCATGACTCATTAAAACTCTCTCTCCACTTTGTTTCACTTTTAATTTAACTTCTATCAAATCAGCCCACCCTCAAGGCGTCACCTTAAGCGCATAGCTGGGCGGATTTAGAACTCCCCGATATAGGAGTCTGAGAAAGATGCACCAACAACCACTGCTGAGACCGACCAGTCCAATGCAACCTTTGTTAATAAGCGTGTAAAGCACATAGCCACAAAGTCCACACCACCACACAAGTAGGCCCTAGCGAAGGTACCTTGCATTGCATTTAGTTTAATTTCATTTAGTTTATTTTTTATTTTCTTGCATTAAGGACAATGTTTCTCTCAAGTTTGGGGGAGATAATGTTCATAGTTCATTACTTTCATTTGTAATATATAACAGAGTTTTTCTATGGCATTTGTTTGATTGGAGACATGTTTTGAATGAATTGATGATGTACGCACAATAATGATAATTTTTTATGGCTATTGTGAATTGAATGTACATGACTGATTGAGAATGGTAGAGTTAACTTTAGGATTTGATTCCCTATGCTTGAACTTTTACACGATTATATGTTATCTATGCTTAAAGGCCTTAGAATTTTTTTTATTAAGAACTCTTGCATGCCTTAGTATAACTTCAAATTGAAATGAATTGAATGCTTAATGATAGCATTAAAGGTTTAAAGTAAACTCCCTTGTGCAAATTGAAAATCTTGAATTGTGAATAAATGCCAAAGGCATAACTATTAGGGACATTCCTATTTGAATTGCATTGCCTAGAATTCCTCTTAAATGAATGATAACAATCTTATATGAGTGAATGAAAATCTTCACAGGATGACTTTACTCGAATGACTAGGGAATGGGGTGTTTGCTCCACTTCATCTTCAAGTATGTGAGAGTATGTGTGATGAGATGAAGTGCATTTTGTTAATGAAATGTGATTAATTATGTGCTTAAATTGTTTAAAAAAATACTAAGGTAGAATAGAGAACCTACTTAGAAATTTTCTAGCTCCATTAAGCATAGATTTGATGCAACCCCACACATATATTTAAGAACCCAGTCTTAGTGAAAATTATTAATTTCTCAATTTTTCTAACATATTCCAACCTATACACTTTCTGAGTACTGAAATTTCTCTCATGACATGTCTCTGAACTGAACTTTTCCATAACATTTCTTTTATTGAATACTACTCATTACTTGAAAACAATAAATAACTCAAGTTTGGGGGTGTTTTTATCCGTAAAAAGGATACATTTTAGGATTTTTGCTCATTTAGTTGCATTTAGTTGCATATAGATACATATTTTATACATGTGGTGGATTGGGGTGAATGGTCTCTATTTTATTGATTAATGGTGTTGATAATACGAGGAATATAGTGTTCCAATGTTGTGTGTGTATAGGTTAAAGAATTGGGTGAGATGAAATTTTGCTGCAACATTTCGGGCAATATACTTGGGTGCACTAAATGGCAAAAGTTAAAGATATTTTCTAGCTTTCACGTGAATCCCATGATAGTTGTGCCCTATACGTGAAGGGAATCTTTTCCCTATGGTACAAAGAAGTAAAGGGAACAAAACCCTAGGAGCCCCCACTATATAAAGCTAAGGACACCCCACATTTAAAAGAGGTTAGAATTTATGAGCTAAGATAAAAGACGGTTAATCTACCTTTTTCTTTTGTCCTTCTTTGTGGGTGGTCTTTATTGTTGAAGACTTCAAGGAAACAACAAGCTAGACCTTGAGAGAGGCATATTGGTGATAATTCCATAAAATTGCTACTTTTAAGGCCTTTTCCACTTAAGTTATTATTTGTCTAAGAGTTTATATAGGCCATTTTAGGTGCATATAGTTTTATTTGTGGTGGTTGTGTTGTTTTACTTTGTTAAAGTGCTATATGATGGGAAAGGAGTGGTTGGATAGTGATGTACAAGAAACAAGGAACATAAGGTAAGCTGAGAAGAATGACGCGACATCACATGTTGTTGAAGTAGATTTTAATACCTTGGCATTTCTTGTATAAAAAAGGACAAATAGATATATTCACAAGAGGATAGCTGTCAAGGCACGTGTTTGCTACCTGTAACTGCCTGATGGGGTTTACTGCCACCTGTAGAGATAAGCTTCATGCAAAAGGAATGACTTGGGGGTACGATGGGTATTTTAAGTGCAAAATCCCAAGAATACCACACAAGAGAGAGAAGAAGACGATTACACAAGCTTGAAAATATCATCTTCTCCATTCTCTCAAAAGTTCTTCTTTTCTCCATTTTCATTGGTGTTCCTCCATTGGTGAAGCTTGAGGAAGTGGTGTAAGCATCAGAGAGGAGCTCACGCTATAGCCATTCATGGTGGTTTGAGGAAGCATTAATCTTACACACCTTGTGTTTTCTTCTCCAACCTTTACTCCATTGTTAAAGCTTGAAAAACCTAATTGGCTTGTTTGGTTGAATGAACGATTAGACATACTCTATAGTTTATTTAAACCACACCATGAACTAAGTAATATTTGGTGGGAGTTCATTTGATGGATGCTTAAAAACTTTATTTTTAATGGTTGATGATTGTTTTTCTTTTGCTTTTACTTGTTTTGTTTATGTGTGCTTCATCTTATAAGATTGTAGGTGGCCATGAGAGTGTTCATTTCTTAGATGAAGACTAGATGTTCGAGAGAAATCTAATCATTAACTATTAAGTGTTGGAGAGAAACTTAAGTGAGATTAGCATAAACAATGGGGTATAGTTAATTAATATATCATAATCCCTTAGTGCTTGAGAGAGACTAAGCTAGGATTTCAACGACTAAGAGGGCTAGGGCATCATCAATAGTCTAGGCTACCATAGTTGAGACTGAGAGGAGATATCATGGTATTATATTCTGTTAGGTTCTTATGACTAGAGATAGCGAGAACACTTTTAGAAAACTCTGTCAAATAAGTAAAACATTAGAAGACTAAATCAGCTAGAGATATAAGTTTTTCAGCTCCTTAAGTGTATCCCCACCATTCATTTCTAAAGTAGTTTCCCGTGTGAGGATTGTCAAGTTATTCATTTATTTTTTATTTTTACCATTTTACTTTGCCTCGACATTTTCATCATGTTCATTAATATAAACTGCTATTTTTCCATGACATTATTCACTCAATCACATTCCATCACCATTATTCCATACACTCTTATATTTCTATTGTCAAAGCATCATCTATGTATATATTATTTCTATACTTAGATAAATTAGTGTTGTATTGTGGTCAAAATCATAATTTCGACCAATCCATGTGGAGATAATATGCACTCATCACTTTATTACTTGTTCGATTGTGTATACTTGTACATCATTTGCATATAATTTTATAGCCGAGGATTGGCAACATGAAGTTAATTAGTTTGGCCAAAGCATTTTATTTTGCTTCTTTATTTTTGTATAGTTTACTTACACTTACACTTTATTCTTTTTCAGGCTTATTTACTGTATGACTAGAAGATATTTTGACAAGCCATTAGAACCAATTGAACCTGAGATTGAGAGACTTTTTAGGTAAAAGAGATGATCAACGTGCTCAAGAAAATATGTATCAAATTATGAACAAGGGCATTGGTCAAGAAGAAGGTAATCAGAATACCGAGGTATTCTATAATGTTGGGCCTACTGATAGGCCTCGTGCTATTCATGATCATTTGAATCTTGCGTTGGATGATCTGAATCCTGGAATTGTGGCACCTAAAATTCAAGCAACCCATTTTGAGCTCAAACATGTGATGTTCAACATGTTGAATTCTATAGTACACTTTGGGGGCATGCCAACTGAAGATGCCTAGCAGTATATTCGTAACTTTTTAGAGGTTTGTGTTTTTTTTACAACAAGGAGTGCATGGGGATGTGCTGAAATTAAAGCTATTTCCATACTCTTTGCGTAATCGAGCCAGGGCTTGGTTGAGTGGTGTTCCATTTGTTTCGAAAGAATCATGGGTTGATCTTAGCAAACAAAATTTATTGCACTATAACCCACCAAACATGAACACTTAGCTAAGAAATGACATAGCATCCTTTCACCAGGATGATGATGAATCTATGTATGAATGTTGGGATCGTTATAAGAGTTTTCTTTGCAAATGTTCTAATCATGGTTTTCAAGATTGGACTCAAGTAGTTATGTTTTATAATGGAGTCAATGCACCCATGAGAATGATTCTCGATCCCTCGACAAATGAGACATTGTTGGATAAATCACCTACTGAAGCATTTGCTATTTTGGATAAAATTGCCAACAATGACTATCAATTTTATTCCTCAAGGCTTGGAACTGGGAGAAAAGCACCTAGAGCATTCGAGTTAGATACCAAGGACTCTGTGTTTGCTCAACTTTCAGCTATCACTAATATGTTGAAAATTTATAACGCTCTACTCAGGTTAAGAAAGTGAAAACAACTAATTCAGCATGTTTGTTATGCCAATGCAATCATCATGAAAGCGAATGTCCAACCAATCATGAGTCTATCAACTTTGTAGGTAATTTTAATCGAGGAAATAACAATCCCTATTCTAACACCTGTAATGCAGGATGGCATCAACATCCTAATTTCTCATGGGGAAATCAAGGAGCCCCTAATTCTAGTCAACCTACTCGTCAGAAATAGTGAATCTCAAGGTTACCAAAACACTATACTATAGCATAATGCTAACAAGGGAGCCTCATCTTTTGCAAACATTAGTTCTTTGGAGGACATGATTCAAGATTTCATATCTACCACGAAGACAATGATACAAGACCATTCTACTTCAATTAAGAATCAAGGAGCTTTGCTCCATAATCAAGGTGTCTTACTTCAAAGCCATAGCTTGACTCTGAGAGCTTTGGAAGATCAAGTTGGTCAAATTGCTACGGCATTGCAATAACATCAACAAAGATGATTGTCGAGTGACACTAAAGTCACTAAATCTCTTGTAAATAATAATGCAATGTATTAACTCTTCAGAGTGGAACAAAGGTTAACCAATAAGTCAAGGTTGGGAGAAAGTAACATGATGATTCAACCCCCATTTCTAAACAGGATGAACCTAAATTACATGATGATATCATTGCTGAGAAAGACAAAGAGGAGGGTTTTAATAGAAAACATGCCGAAGCACTAAATTCTATTGCCAAGGCAAAAACAATTCCTACTCCCACTATTGAGGAAGTTAGACCCCACCACTCTTCCCACAAAGATTGAAGAAAGACAATGATGAAGTTCAGTTCAAAAAATTTATTGACATTCTTGATCAGTGTCATATTAATGTACCTCTCTTGGAAGCCATTGAAAAAATGTCGACTTATGACAAATTTCTTAAGGAAATTTGTACCAAGAAAATGAAAGTTTAGAAGTATGAGACAGTTACCACGGCAAGAGAATATTTCTCTGCATCGAGCAAGCTACCGCTAAAGCAAAATGATCTGGGAAGCTTCATTATTCCATGTTCCGTATGAGCTAATTTTGTTGGAAAGGCACTATGCGATCTTGGTTCAAGTGTGAAATTAATGCCTAAATTTATATTCTTGAAGCTTGGTATGGGAAATGTTAGACCCACCTCTGTGATTTTACAAGTTAATGAACGATCTCATGTTAGACCTGAAGGGAGAATCAAGGATGTCATAGTGAAGGTGGATATATTTATTTTTTATACTCTCAAGTATGCTGATGACTCTTAAGAATGCCAAGGCATTCGTGAAAAGAACTTATTGATTGAAGAAGAGACTGAACAATATTGCCAAAGCAATTTCATTTAGTCAATAGACTATAAATGGCCTATTGACGATGAAAACATAAAAGAGCATGAAAAATTGCCCATTGGGGTTGAGCAATCTAGTTTACTACTAGCTAGATCAGGTATGAACTTTGAACCCCTTAATTTTGATGAATTTATTCTTCCTAAGCCATCGTTATTGCATGAACCTACCCTAGAGCTAAAGCCTTTATCAGAGCATCTAAAATATGTTTACTTGGGTAGTGATAAAACTTTGCATGTGATTATTTCTTCTAGCCTTACTCTTAACCAATAACAAAGTTCGGTAAGTGTTTTGTCGCAACATGAAAAAGCACTTGGATGGACTGTGGCTAATTTAAAGGGGATTAGTCCCACAATTTGCATGCATAAGATCCTGCTAGAAGAATGCCATGGAAACTCGATAGAACCACAACAAAGACTCAACCTAGTAATGAAGAAAGTGGTAATGAAATAAATACTTAAATGGCTAGATGTTGGAGTTATTTACCCTATATATAATAGTTCATTGGTGAGCCCTATCCAATGTGTGCCTAAGAAAGGTGGCACGACTGTGGTGACCAATGAAGATAATGATCTATTGCCCATGCGTACTGTCATTGGTTGGAGGATATGCATGGACTATCGTAATCTCAATAAAGCTATAAAGAAGGACCATTTTCCTCTAACCTTTATCGATCAAATGTTGGATTGATTGGTAGGAAAAGCATTCTATTTCTTCTTAGATGGTATTATGGTTATAATCAAATTGTCATCGTACTAAAAGACCAGGAGAAAACCACATTCACTTGTTCTTATGGCACTTTTATTGTACCTTGAATGAGACATAAATAAATTATACAACCACCAAGAAAGAATTACTTGTCGTAGTATTTGTATTTGATAAATTTAAACCATACCTAATAGGCATTAAGGTTATTGTTTACACTGATCACTCAACTATTAAATGTATATGTATATGTTAAGGCAAGCAAATCTGTGCAAGTATACATAATCGATTCAAGTAATATAGGGTAAGTGAGTATCGTTTCCACAGGAATTGGTCGAGAAATATATTTTCACCACAACTAGAACTAGTGTCACAAACTAAGTCCTACTAAGTATTGACTTAAGAACTAATATTAATAAAGAAGTGATTTAACGATTACGGGAAAGTTTGGTCGAGGCAAAATAAGTATGCAGAATGCTAAAGCAAAATAAAACAAAACAAGTGTTGATTTAAATCTAATGCAAACAACCTCACATATTCAAACATATCACAGAGCACTGATGCTAAACCCTTGCATAGTCAACAATTATTTCGAAGTCTAGAATGAATTATTATGACTTGCTAAACTGCCCGACAGGATTACTAGGTATTCTTAGAATGTTGCTACGGAAATACTCCTCAGCGTTAACTACAACCCTTGGTTTGTCAAACTGTTGTTGTAGCAATACCTCTCAGCGTAAACTATAGGCGTTGTCTCTCCTACTCTAGCGTCTATCACTTTTAGTCGATTAAAACTCAATCCTTATCTCTAAGGTAACAAGTTAGAACTTCACCATCCTGGATTCATTCTATTACTCATGTGGATCTATCTCAATTCTCTCGAATCTAAGAATCACTATCTAGACAAAAGGCTATCTCTCGATTCACTTATATTGCTAAAACATGTTTTACCAATACCCCAGGAGATCTCTCGATGCTCTTACAGCGTAAGGTAAAATATTTAAATAATGAGAAAAATAGTCATTAGCAAACATAATTCATCATTCATAAAACATAAAAATATTATTCAGGCAAAACAACGTTTAACACCAAGTAAGATATTCATGGTGCTATCAAATATCATCCAGTATTGAACGTTTAGTACAAACCCAAACAAATAAAGAGTTAAAAACAAAGGAAGAACTACTCCCAAAACCAGGGGCTCTGTCGTGACAATTCTGATCAGCACTACGCCTGCCTTGGTGATCAGCCTCTCTCGAGAACTGATCACTGCTATGCTAAAGTCTGGCTATGGAGGACACCAAGGAAGGTCGGTCGGTAAACAGTGAAGAAGCATTGTAGTTGCTCGCTCACGCCTTGGATAAAACAATTCTGTTTCGTTGGCCTTTTCAAATTTTCGTTGTCACGAATGAATTGTTCTTCCTCTGTAGCTTTCCTGCACAACATAATCCAAATAACCCTTTCTCCTCAGCAACATTAGTTAGACCAAATAAATCTTGTCTAAGAAAAATTTATCCACCACAAGCTAATGTAACCTTTATGCAACTAAAATGTTGTGCATACTTTGTTTTGACAAGCAATAACTTAAGTGAAAAGACTGTAAATTGAGTCTTTTTACGGAGTTATCACACCCCCAAACTTAAGCTATTGCTTGTCCTTAAGCAATGTACAGTAGCTAGAAGAAAATCAAAATTGTCATGGTAAGCAGTGTTAAGAAAATCATATGGTTTTATATTTCAATCCTTAGTAAAAATTGTTTGTCCTCAACATGTTCGACAGTCTTATCAGTCAAGTCCCCTCCCTAGTCAAGATTCTTTGCTATAGTGTGTGTGTTATTGTAGCATGTCTATGCATAAAGGTAAGTAAAAAACCTAAGTAAGCACTTATGGTTTGTCAAGGCAACAAATTATTTGTCAGGCCTAGTTTATACTTCTAGTTATTTATAAACTTTTTTTTCATAAGCATAGAGGAGTCAGCTCATCACACCTACCATTCCACGCTCTAGATGAAAGGGAACATACCTTCTACCCCCAAGCTAGTCGGGCAAAGTCATCCTGTGACTACTTTCATTCACTCATATGCCTTGGCTATTCTTAATTTCTTATGGATTTTTTCTATTTATGCCTTTGCATAGAGGAGTGTCCCTTCTTATTTCTTTCTTAATTTTTTCAAGCTTTTAAACACTAGAGGTTTTCACTTTACCCTTAAAATATTTTTAAAGTATTGGCAAGCAGAAAATTCTTTTCCAAAAATTTACAGATTACCTGAAGCAAAGGCAACCTATAATCGTGTTTATAAACTTCAAAGAATCAGGCCTAAGGATGGTTCTCTTCTTTAGATAGTCGTAATCAATAATTTTGGCATATGCAATAAAATTATGCATTCATCATCGGGCATCCTTAATTCATTCCTAACAATAATCTTAACTTGTTATGCCATGACAACCAAAATTTTCAACTAATTATCATCAATTGCTTTCTAACAAAGTATGGTAGAATATGGTACAATACCTCCCCCAAGCTTGAGGGATGCATTATCCTCAATGCATGAAAACAAAAACTATATGAATTTACATCCAAATACGAAGAAAAAAATGATAAATAAAATGGAAACTCACTGTGGTGTGGTAGCTTGACTGCACGCCCTCGTTCAGTGTCG